TGGATTCAGAATGTCCTGCACCCCAGAAGAAGAAGCAAAAGGTAAATTGAATAAAAGAAAACTTAATTTGATATTTATCATGTTGTTGTGACAAAAATTTGTATGCAGAATTGTAGGTTGAAAAAGCGGATATTCCAAGCAGAATTGATAAAATCGAAACTGTAATTTGTGATTATTTATGGAATAGTGAGTTAGAATCGGGGTAAGTGAAATATATTGCTTTGTGAGTGATATTTAAATATTTCATGACAAGATATTAATCCTAATGATTCATACAGATATTCTATAATCTCAATGGGAAATCAATTCGCTAATATATTCGACGTTGCAACGTTGAAGCCTACAAAATGGGTTGGCGGTGTGGTAAGTAAAAAGTACAAAATGTTAAAACCTATTGAATATGTAATTAATTTTGTTAGGTTATTGATTTGGTCGCCTGGACAGTATGCTATGATTCGAAAAAATCACTCCGGAGGATTGGCTACATTCCATACCATTTAGCGGTGAGTTAAATTAATAAATGTTGAAAAGTAATGTTATAGACGGTAAATTAATAATGATTGTCGCGTAATTGCAACAACAGGCGTTGGATGCCAACAACGAAGTAAGTGTTGAGAGTATTGCTACCTTTTGGGGTCCCATATTGGGTAACTATGTGAAATTCACCGACTGTGAGAAGGTAAGACACCATACGAATTGCAAATGATGTTTTCGGATATAAAATGTTGAATTTTGTCAAATTGGGTATGAAATTTGTTGCAGATCATGATCACAATAAACTACCATAATTAACATTGGTATCTGTTGGTGTTGGATATGGTAGATCATGTTGCAACAATATATGATAGTATGTTTACATCTGAAGCAGCTAAATAGAGAGTGAATGATGCTAAGAGATTGGTATATATGAAAGGACATTATGTAAATTATAATGCATATTTTGTTTGGATCATAACTTCATATTTTTTAATGCATATGAAAATATTATATAGTTATAATAAGAAACGCAATTGGGTAGAAGTATGTGGATCTCTATGAAAGTTCTCCTTGAAAAATTTCAAATTTGTGGAGCATAAGAAGAATGAGCAATTGAATGGGTATGAGATCTTCTCATAAATAGAAAGCCTAATTTATGCAGGTTTCATAATTGACATATGTGTTTTTCAAATTTTGTTACAGATATGATTGCGGCATGTATGTGATGATGTGGATGGAATCGATCGGTTCTACAGGGACAACTGGTGATTTTGTAAGTGGAATTAAAAATTCGTTTGCGGTTAACTTGTTAAAAGTCGTAGATTGAATGTTGTGGTTTACAATACTTAACGTACTGACAATTTGAATATAGGTTGTTGGAGAGTGAGATCGATCGCGAATATTAAACGATATCGTAAGCCACAATCAAAATCAACGAAGACAGGAGATAACAAAAGCTGTCATGAGACACAAGAATAACAAAAGTAAGCGATTATGTAAATGTAGAGTTAATTTTGTATAAGATTTATAATTTTTTATACGATTTATAATTTTTTATGTGGATGTAATTATGTATGAGATGAGAAAAGTTAGCAGTAGGTTGGTAAAATGTAAATGTAGGGATTGAATGACCATTTCATATTGAGGGTATGTACAATAACTACAAAATTCAATAACTTTAAAGTAAAAGGTAAATTTACAATGTAGACGCAAAAAATAGATTTTTTAATGAAAAATTAATAAACACAAAGATTTGTTTCCAACATTTTGTCCAGTACGGTTCCCAAACGTTAAGTTTTCAAAAAATAGGTAAGCATATGTGTCGATACATTTATAAAACGTGTCGATCCTAAAAACATCGAAACAAATAATTATAATATAATAGGTAATTTTATAATATAATCGGTATAAATATATCGATTTTATGTGAGAATATGTCTATATAATGTATCGACATTTTTTATTTTGTGTCGATACTTTTTGTCCAGAATGAATGTCAAAAATGATGAACGAATAAAGTGTCGATACATATATAAAAAGTGTCGATCCTAAAAACATCGAACAAATAATTATAATGTAATAGGTAATTTTGTAATATAACCGGTATAAATATACCGATTTTATGTGAGAATAGGTCTACATAATATATCGACATTTTTTATTTTGTGTCGATATTTTTTGTCCAGAATGAATGCAAAAAAATGATGAACGAATAAAGTGTCGATCCCAAAAACATCGAAACAGATAATTATAATGTAATAGGTAATTTTGTAATATAACCGGTATAAATATATCGGTTTTATGTGAGAATAGGTCTACATAATGTATCAACACTTTTTTATTTTGTGTCGATACTTTTTGTCCAGATTGAATGCCAAAAATGATGAACGAATAAAATGTAGATACATATATAAAAAGTATTGATCTCAAAAATATCGAAACAAATAATTATAATGTAATAGATAATTTTACAATATAACCGGTATAAATATACCGGTTTTATGTGAGAATAGGTCTACATAATGTATCAACACTTTTTTTATTTTTTGTCGATACTTTTTATCCAGATTGAATGCCAAAAATGATGAACGAATAAAGTGTCGATACATATATAAAAAGTGTCGATCTCAAAAACATCGAAATAAATAATTATAATGTAATAAGTAATTTTGTAATATAACTGGTATAAATATACTGATTTTATGTGAGAATAGGTCTACATAATGTATCGACTCTTTTTTATTTTTTGTCGATACTTTTTGTCCAGAATGAATGCAAAAAATGATGAACGAATAAAGTGTCGATACATATATAAAAAGTATCGATCCCAAAAACATCGAAATAGACAATTATAATGTAATAGGTAATTTTGTAATATAACCGGTATAAATATACCGATTTTATGTGAGAATAGGTCTACATAATGTATCGACACTTTTTTATTTTATGTCGATATTTTTTGTCCAGAATGAATGCAAAAAATGATGAACGAATAAAGTGTCGATACATATATAAAAAGTGTCGATCCCAAAAACATCGAAATAAATAATTATAATGTAATAGTTAAATTTACAATGTAACCGGTATAACAATACCGGTTTTATGGGAGAATAGGTCTACAACATGTATCGACACTTGTGGAATTTGTGTCGATACTTTTTGTCCAGAAGGAAATCCAAAAGTTGCACGCATAAAGTGTCGATACATTTTTAAAATATGTCGATCCCAATAACATTAAAAGCGATAATTATAATGTAATAGGTAAATTTCTAATGTAACCGATATAAATATACCGGTTTTATGAGAAAATAGGTCATCATAAAGTATCGACAATTGTTAAATTTGTGTCGATACCATTTTAAATATCGTGTGTTTTCCCCCTCCATTATTTATAGTGGATACAAATTTCAAATCGACAAACCCTAAACCTAAAGGCAAAAGAGAACTCTTCCTTTCCGACGAATACTAGCGTTATCATAACAGTGACGATCAAATATTCAGGTAAATTTATCTATATTTTATGGGTTTGATTGATTTCCACATTGGAGTTTTTTTTCTGAATGTGTTTGTGTTCTAATGTAATAGCATCCACACCCAAAATGGCTCCAAAACGTCAGCGTCAGAAGCGCGGTCTTTCTCAAAGCTCTTCTCAACCCACGTCTTCTCAACCACAACCTCCTTTTCAAACAATCGTTTCTTCTGAGGAAATCAGGTCGTTCGAAACTCTGAACTTTAGATCCAATACGGAGAAAGAAAGATGGCAGACGAGTTTTAAAGTAAGAAAGATTCGTCCCGAACGTGTTATTGACCTGGGTTTCTTGTTTGATGATAAATATGCTTTAGTTTTAAATCCATATTTACATCTTGGGGTTGGCTTGAATTCCTTGGTATAGAACTAAAATATTACCCCAACCTAGTTAGAGTCTTCTACAATAATGTTTCCTTACAGCGCGAGCCTAATAAGACTAATATAATAGGAATTAATGCCCATATCATAGGGAATGATATATATATATATATATCTCCGAGAACTATTGCAGAGGGTCTAGGTGTCGAGAATAAAAGGGATTCAGATGAAAATAATTTAGATACTATAGTACAACGGATTGCTAGAAATAGCCCAATTCACCTAGATGTAGAGTAGAGAGTGTTTCACAAAATGCTCAGTTGGTATATCCGGCCTACTGGGGGAAAACATTCAACGCTTCGAGACAACGATTATTGGTGGATAACAAAGTATAAATCCAATAAGGCTCCAAACATTGCTAAATTGATATTTAATACAATTGTATATATGGTCACAAAGGGAGTAACAATTTCAACTTCACTACCATATGGATGTGTCATCACCCATCTGTTGAATAAGAAAGAAGTTGATTTTTCGCATGACGCCCCTGTTCGATTAACCCGCAAGATTGACATGTTATTTATTAAAAAAACGGGATATGATTTTGTTGGAAAAGTCGGTTAGAAGCGAGTGAAGGAGGTCGGATTAGATCAAGAGAGGGAGGAAATAGAGCCCATTAGCCATGAAGACGACCAACTAATTGGAGACGCAATGATGGAAGAAGCTCCGGAAGCTCCAGTTGGAGACGATGTCACAATTAAGACGGTGATGGAATAAATGGTCAATTTTCGGGAGCATATCGATTCCCTTGTGAGCAGAATGCGAGTCGATATTTCATCACTGTGCGATGAAGTCTCCATGTTGCGTGACGAATTACGTCAACGAAATCAAACGAGTTAGGTAATTAATTATTTATATTTCTAAACATTTACACGTTCTGAAAAGTATTTTATTTTCTTTTAACATATGTGGACAACCAAGAGGTCAATGAAGATGAAGATGACGATGAAGATAATGATGATGATGATGATGATCCAAACAAGTATATCGTGTCTGCAACGCCGCCTGCAAGAAAACTTATAATTTTTTATGTCAATGGTGTCCTTGCCTACAACCCAAGACAACCAAAAGGTTTTAATTCTATTCTTTTGTATCCATTATTTTAACATATAAGCGTAGAACTTTAATCTCATTTTTTTTATATTGTAGATGTTGTCCTCATAAAAGAATTATATAAATTTATGCATTTTTTGTAGACAATTTTGTTATTGCCATTTAGTCTTCCAAGATGAGGTTAGAACTGTTGAGCAATTGAATTACTGTAACCAAAATAGTTAATATACAATTAAATGTTAAAATTCAAACTTGATTACAATCTCAGGCATAACATCGACCCTGCACTTGAGAAACTACCTTTGTTGTCTGACCATTTTCTATTCACTTGGGTAAGATGAATCTCATTACAATTTGCTGACTTTTATTTGTCTATGATTTCTACATATTTATGTTCGACTGTTTGTGAAAAGGATCAAGTAAATTGCAAAACATACGATAATGTTACATACTGTAAAGATCTCAATGATGTTTGGAACGCGTTTCCTTATTTTAACGACCTAAATACACTGTTGGTCGATGATTCACCGGAAAAAATGATTTATAATCCGGTAAGTTGCATTTATGCAATATGTTTTTCCAGTTAAACAGGTGTTCATACATTGATTGATTAACAATTTATGTGTTTATATAGAAATACAATTACATATGTCCACATTCATTTGACGATGCTTCCCATTCGGGCGACAATGCTCTAGGTATGAGACAAATTTATTCCTGCTTATGCGAATTTAGTAGTAAAATTACACCTCATTAGTTTGATAATTGAAATTATTTATATATGTCCTCAGAAAAAGGCGGTAACATACGAGAGTATTTGGAAAATTTGTTGAAGGCGCCTAATGTTCCGGACTTCGTTAGAAATAACCCTTTTTAATCGTATTATTTTCATTGTGGGTATATTATTTGAACATTGTTATGTATAAATTATTTGAATATTATTTGAACATTGTTATGTATAAATTTCTTGTGTACGTATGTTACTTGAACATTATGAATTAATTATGCAATTTAATTTATAAGGTAACAACTTACCTTTTTTCAAAACTTATTAACTTAGCTAATATGCATGTTACCATTGATTATTCCATATTTGCTTCTCTGTATATAAATACATTTGAGGATTGTTGAAATATCAATAATAGTTATTAATGTATTTTACATCTGCGTACAAATGTATCGAAACACATTATTAAAGAATCGTTTTCTATAATCTCCACAACAAAGTTTTTATACATAAAGTTTCCAAACTTAAAGTTTCCCATAAAGTGTCGATACATTTTTAAAAAGTATCGATCCCGAAAACATCGAAACCCATAATTATAATGTAATAGGTAATTTTGTAATATAACCGGTATATTTATACCGGTTTTATGTGATAATCGGTCTACATAATATGTCAACACTTTTTAATGTTGTGTCGATACTTTTTTCCAGAATGAATGCCCAAAAGGGTGAACACATAATGTGTCGATAAATTTATAAAAAAGTATCGATCCCAAAAACATCGAAACCGATAATTATAATGTAATAGGTAAATTTACAATGTAACCGGTACAAATGTACCAGTTTTTTGAGAAAATAGGTGAACATAATGTATCGACACATTTTAGATTTGTGTCAATACTTTTGGTCCACAAGGAAAATCCAAAAAGGTTGTACCCATAAAGTGTCGATACATTTTTAAACAGTATCGATCCCTAAAACATCAAAACCCATAATTATAATGTAATAGGTAATTTTGTAATATAACTGGTATAAATATACCGGTTTTATGTGAGAATATGTCTATATAATTTGTCGACACTTTTAAATGATGTGTCGATACTTTTTTCCAGAATGAATGCTCAAAGAAGGGTGAACGCAGAAAGTGTTGATACATTTATAAAAAGTATCAATCCTAAAAATATTGAAACCGATAATTATTATGTAATACGTAAATTTACAATGTAACTGGTATAAATGTACCGGTTTTATGAGAAAATAGGTGAACATAATGTATCGACACGTTTTAGATTTGTGTTGATACTTGTAAATAACGCGTTTTTTCTTCCTTCATTATTTATAATGTAACGCTATAAACCCTAAATCGACAAACCCTCTATTAAGAATACCAGTGTTCATAACAGTTACGACCAGTTATTCATGTGACAAACACTTTTTTCCCTTCTTGTGTTTGATATTTATGTTGTCGAAACCCTACTTTTTTAGAAAATCTTTGAAAAGAGGGATTATGTTTTAAATTTTGCTGTTTGTGAATGGTTATAGGTTGCAAGTTCAATTTTTGTTCGCGAAGATGATGACCTTCAAATGGAGCCCTAGCGTATATATATTAAAGAAAATCGAAAGCGACCAGTAAATATCAATGTATTCATGTAATTGTTCTCTAAATGGTAATTAGATTAAAGTATTTAATCTAATTTAATTGATTCAAATCTGTACAGTCTTACTGAATGCGAAAGGATAAAGGAAGCTCATAATCATGTTGACATCATAGCCAATAAAACCCCTTGCAAGGTCTAAATGGTAATCTAGGAATTGGTAAGGCAAGCTTCCTTTGATGGTTTAGGGTTTAGAGCCCTCCAACGTAAGGAGTGCATGATTGAACATTACGTTTAATAGTTGTATTCAGTTGTTGAAGAATTGTTCTTAATTTTATATAAGGATAATTTTATTGGCTATGTAGTCAACATGAGTAACCTGGATAATCCAGTTACAGAACTGATTCCGGCCATGATTGCGGGAGACTATAGTCTACATATTGTTTGGCATTTATGTGATGATGCAGATGAAATATTAAACGGTCTCGTAAGCCACAATCAAAATAGACTAAGAGAGGAAATTTTGTTAATATAGGGTTAATTTTGTATAAGTTATTTATAATTTTGTATGTGAATGTAATTATGTATGAGATGAGAAAAGTTAGCAATATGTTATTGTACATGTTTCTTATACACAATAGGAGTCATGTTGATACTTACGATATATGGAGATCGTTGTCATCATGTGCGGGACTGAATGGCCATTTCATACCGTCTTCGAAAAAATCAGTTGATGTAGGCTGTGTGCTTGTATTCAAACTGAGCTTGACTTGAGGACATGTTAGTTTGTTATGTCCCTCGCCGTTGCAGTACCCACATTGCCTAATTTTTTTCTCGACCTTGTTCTTCGGTACTTCTTTTCGCTTGTGTTGTTTTCGTTGAGGGTCGCGAACGTTGTTTACTACACTGCTCTGGTTGACTGAATCATTCAAACCAAATGAGTTTTCAAATTCTTCTATTAGTCTTTTCATCTCATCTCTTGCGGTTTTGAAAGGCGCGTCTGTCTTTGATGCAATGTAGCATAACCTACTTGACGTTGAACGTAGAGCAACGAACCTTGCCATTTGCATCACTTCTGGAGGCACATTCAAGTTAACATAATTGGGTGCAGAAGCCTTCGTATCCTTAGTCCACCTACTTTGAATCAAATTCCCGGGCAAATATGTGTAACCCAAGTGCTTCAAAATGTGAAGTTGATGGCGACACGAAAGTCCAACGGTCTCGAATTTTTTGCAGGAGCAAATTAGGGTTTCCGTAAGAAAATAAAAACTAATTTCAAATGTTCTATTTTTTTCTTTGTATTTTGTCAACATATAATGTTGACATTCATCTGATAAGGACTGAATCTCTTCCTCAATCCGGTACAATGTCTCCTGTTGAAGTTCATCTTGGAACGCACGAAAAGATTCGTGGGTAAAAATCTCAGCAGCATGGCTTTCAAGTTCGAACAGTTTTGTGATCTGGAAGTGTTTCATCTGGGAACTTAAGTAATCCGCTTTCAACTCGTTCATATGCATTCTACTAATTCCATCTTCAATTGCACAAACAACATTTAAATATGTCTTATTGTGTTTCAATGCAATCGCTAGTAAAGCATTCATAGACTCGCACCTTTGTGTTGAGTGAATATTGGCAAAAAATTACCGGTTAGATATGCTTGTGCCCATACGTGTCGAGTGTTTCCCTTCTCAATCACCCATGGATGCTTTTCGATGTTGAATTCTAAAACAACCGAACGCCATTGAATATCAAATTCCTCAGTTGTCTAACCGGAAGCCATGCATTTTGATAATGCTGCTCTAAATTTTGGGTCACCAATGTTAGCTTGTGCATTGCGAGAAAGATGCCAATAACATAATCTGTGCTTAGCATAAAAGATAACAGATTTGATAGCCCTCTGCATTGCCCTATCCCCATCGGTGACAACTGAAATAGGCGATTTATTCATCATGGCCTCTAAAAAATTCTGTAGCACCCACTCGAAAGATTGAGACGTCTCGTCAGCGATTATGGCAGTGGCAAACACAATTGTGTTATGGTGATAATTGACACCGACAATAGGCATAATTGGTCGACCATACAAATTATCTTTGTACGTTGTGTCGAACACAATTACATCACTGAAGCATGTGTAATCTGATCTCGATGTAGAATCCGACCAAATAAGATTATACAATGCCCCTGATTCGTCTACCGAGTATATCATAAAAAACTCGGGATCATCATGTCTCTTATAATCAAAGTAAGTAATAAGCGCATTCACATCCCCATCGATGATTTCCTTTGCTTTACCTCTTTGAAGTGCATTGCAGAAGTCTTTATGTGTAAATCCAACATTATGATAGCCCCTTGCCTGCCGCGTTAAATGGTTCATTACTTGTGACGTGCCAACACCGACCTCTTTCAATGTTGTTGCCTCATCGATATCAGCCTTACTTACAATTCTATTAGAACGAATAAATGGTGTCATAGCAGGTGTGCACAATGCATGATTATGTTTCTGATAAGACTTACTTATAACCCAGTGATCGTTTGTATTTGTTGCTGTAACTACGACTCTAGCCTTGCATCCTGTTCTTGTGACTGGCGTATGAGCACGTTGACGATCAACAGTATTGGCTTTTGATTCTCGAAACCCTTCTTTGGAACAACAAAATTCTTGTGTCTTCAGATTCCCTTCCACGTCAAGTCGTGTTGTTCCCTTACGTGCACTAAACCCATGTTCTCGTACGAATCCCTTGTAAAAGTACCAAGCTTGATCACGTGAAGAGAAGAGCTGACCAACCAATCTGTCAGATTCATCAACATTATGTACTTCATGGCATTCCTCGGTTGGCTTAACATTATCTGCATCAATATGATCCATGGCAAAAATTTTGTTGTGCAAGTTCAGTGGTCCCGAAGTTGATGGAGATGTAAGTAAAGGTTCATTCAACATGTTTTAGTCGTGCTTTCAATAGGATGTGGTATTGGTAGTGGTAGTTGAAGGGTGGGTACAACATTAATTTCGTGTGACATATTTAGGTGTGTACAATAACTACCTAAATATGTGTCGATACATTTTCTAAAAGTATCGACCCAAAAAATATCGAAACCAATAATTATAATGTAATAGGTGAATTAACAATGTAACCGGTATAAATATATCGGTTAATTAGAAAACATGTAAATATAATGTATCGATACTTGTTTAATTTGTGTCGATACTTATTGTCCAGAATGAATGGCCAAATGTGGTGCACGCATAAAGTGTCGATACAATTATTAAAAGTATTGATCCCAATAAAATCGAAACCGGTAATTATAATGTAATATGTAAATTTACAATGTAATCGGTATAAATATATCGGTTTTATGAGAAAATAGGTCATCATAAAGTATCGATACTTCTTAAATTTATGTCGATATATTTTGTCCATAATGAATGTGTCGTAACCGTCTTTCGGTTGGGCCCCAGAATTGGGCTTCGACTTAGGAAAATGGATTGGAGTCGCCACCGATCATTTATTTAAAAATAAATGGGTTGATCGGATACCCTATTTCTTACCTGATCTGCGTCTTACCAGAAATATGTCGGGCTCGGGAGTCGGTTACGGTCAAGGAAGGATTAGCACCCTTGAACCGCCCTTTCGGTACTACGTAATTTCCAGTTGTCTTAATTAAGAAAAATAACAAGTTAAATTAAAAGGTAAAGTTTCGACCCCAATTACTTACCATTTATTGATTTGAAAATATCCTTAAAAAATCGAGAAATGTGTTAGATAAACAAGGTAAATAAAACAAATAAGGTAAAAGGGAAAAATAAAATAAATAAAATAAATAAATAAGATAAAGGAAAAAAATAGTAAAGTAATAATTATATATAGTAATATTTGAAAAAGGAAAAATATATATATATATATACGTCAAAGTATTAAAAAATAGAAAAGTTACCCTCTCACTTCACCGAAAGTGATGGGCTTTAGTCAGAAATAAGACAAAAAAATGGGTCCTCTAGGTTAGTAATATATAATATAATGTTTAATAATAATAATGATAAAGACACAAGATTTTCTAAAAAATAATATAATAATAATAAATAAATAAAACGAAAATAATAATATATATATATATATATATATATAAAGTTATAAGATATATTACGTAAATAAAAAAATAATCAAATAAAAATAATTAAGAATATATATATATTAGTAATAGGTATATAAATCAACCATTAAAAGTATAAAAAAATATATGACTAGATAAAGATAATTACAATATATATAGTAATAATAGACTTATAAGTAGAATATTAAAGAAATATATATATATATATATATATATACACATATAATAATAATAACATAAATAATAAAAATAAATGAATAAAATATCCATATAATAAATAAAGGGACTAATATAGATTTTTAAAAAGCTCTTCCCCTCCTTTAACCGAAAATCAAACCGGTTTTTCAAAATAAGCCTCGGGGTAGATCTAGGTTCGAAACTTCGAAACCCTACCCATTTTGGTCATCGGCACAACCCACGTTTTGGGTTATTCGAACCAAATCTCAAGAAAAATAACGTGCACATGCAAAAGAAAGAAAAAAGAAAATGCTACCTTTTATTTCCTTTTCGAATCCTTTACAATAGCTTTGCCTTTGTATCTTCCCGTGCTTTCCTCTATGTTTTGTGTGTAAATCGTGTGTTACAATAGTGAGTTACAATGGCTATTTATAGTGCTTGTGGATCCTATCTTTAGGAGTTTAAATAATAGTAGAACTCTATCCTATTTTTTGAATCCTAGTAAAATTCTATCATATCTTTAGGAGTTTGAATTCTAGTAGGACGAAAAGGTGTGTTGACAGCTGCCCCTCTTTGCCCATAGTCGTGTAACGGGGATAGGGCAAAGATTAAAAGACACACTTTTCGTTCGGTGGAGTTGAAAATTGACTCTGATGTTTCAATAACTCCCTGTCGAATTGAGTTACGGATGACTCCTCCATCGTGAAGTCGAGTTCATCTTGAAATGATATGAAATTAAAGCCGTAGTTCGGAATTTGAATCAGCACGTGGCTTCTCGTTACCCTTCGGTCTTCTTCTCGGTTTAAAGACCTTGGATCGGAATCGAACTCAGAAATCTTCATTGACAGATAGCTTTTTCTTGACTTAAGCTATGCTGTTTGAAAATGGTTGCTTGTCACTAAGGCACGGCTAACCCAGGTCCTCTTCTCGACTTGAAAACCTCGACTGCAACCGGAAAGTAGTGTGATTGATGTGTCATCGAGCTGAATGGAGTCGAACTCGACAATTTTGATGGCAGATAATCTTTCTTTGAGTTGGATATCCTTCGTCGTGAAGTTGAAATCCAAGTAAGTAGCATTGTTCCAAGTCCAATATCCTCCGTCGTGAAGTTGAAATTGGCTCTGGAACCGGGAAATTGTTTGTTGACAACCAGCCGTCCCTTCGTTGTGAAGTTGAACTTGTGTTGTCTCGAGTCCAATATCCTTCGTTGTGAAGTTGAAATTGAATCTGAATGAAATTTTGTTGACAAGCAGCGGTCCCTTCGTCGTGAAGTTGAACTTGCGTTGTCTGGAGTCCAATATCTTTCATTGTGAAGTTGAAATTGGCTCTGGGATTGGGAAGTTGTTGTTGACAAACAGCGGTCCCTTCGTCGTGAAGTTGACCTTGCATTGTCTGGAGTCCAATATCCTTCGCTGTGAAGTTGAAATTGGCTCTGAATGAAATTTTGTTGACAAGCAGCGGTCCCTTCGTCGTGAAGTTGAACTTGCGTTGTCTGGAGTCCAATATCCTTCGTTGTGAAGTTGAAATTGGCTCTGAGATTGGAAAGTTGTTGTTGACAAGCAGCGGTCCCTTCGTCGTGAAGTTAAACTTGCATTGTCTGGAGTCCAATATCCTTTGCTGTGAAGTTGAAATTGGCTCTGAATGAAATTTTGTTGACAAGCAGCGGTCCCTTCGTCGTGAAGTTGAACTTGCGTTGTCTGGAGTCCAATATCCTTCGTTGTGAAGTTGAAATTGGCTCTGAGATTGGAAAGTTGTTGTTGACAAGCAGCGGTCCCTTCGTCGTGAAGTTGAACTTGCATTTTCTGGAGTCCAATATCCTTCGTTGTGAAGTTGAAATTGGCTCTGAGATTGGGAAGTTGTTGTTGACAACCAACGGTCCCTTCGTCGTGAAGTTGAACTTGTGCTGTCTTGGGTCCAATATCCTTCGCTGTGAAGTTGAAATTCAAGTATTGTATGTTGCGGGTGGACACAATTCCCTTTGCCGTGAAGTTGAAACCGTGGAGACCCCTTTATTGTGAAGTTTGGCTTCGAGCTAGATATCCTTCGTCGTGAAGTTGAAATCCACTCTCGAGCAAATCGTGTCACTTTGAGTTCAATATCCTTCACCGCAAAGTTGAAATTGACTCTAGCTAAAACCTGAAAAGTTATCCATATATGTGATGCTATGGATGCAATGCTCTTAGGTGTGCCTAAAATGCATATGCAACATATGTTATCTTGGGGCTCTGGAGAGAAATCTCGATCTCCAGTTGCCTGTCTGGAATCTTGATTCTTGAATCTTCAAATTTTGATCCCTGATCTTGAATTCTTCAAATGTTCAAATCTGATGTGCACATTCTATTTTTGATTTGAGAAATGCTTCTCGACCATCTCAAGTTTGTGCTTGAGCTGAGTGTAACAGTTCAGATGATGCTTCAAAAGAAGTTGTCTTGAAAGAGATAGAATTCGTTTCAAGGGAAACGATCTCAAAGATATATGTTGTTTCATGAGAAACAGTTTCAAGGGAAACAAAATTATGTTTTAAGGGAAATAAATTTGAAGATTTTGTGTTTCAAGAGTAACTGTCTCAAGGGAGACAAAATTATTTTTAGGGGAAATAAATTCAAAGGTTTTGTTTCAAGGGAAACTGTCTCAAGATAGACGAAAATTGTTTCAAGAGAAACTGTCTCAAGAGAGACAAAACTTAGTTCCAAAAGAAACTGTCTCAAGGGAGACGAAATTTGTTTCAAAGAAAACATATTCAAATATTTTGTTTCAAGGGAAACTGTCTCAAGAGAGATAAAATTTATTTCAAGGGAAACTGTCTCAAGATAGACGAAATTTGTTTCAAGAGAAACTGTCTCAAGAGAGACAAAATTTGTTTCAAGGGAAACTGTCTCAAGAGAGAAAAAACTCTTCTAGTGAAAACGGTCTCAAGTGAGACAAATCTTGTTTTAAGAAAAACAATCATGAGTGAAATAAATCTTCTTTCGAGTAAAACAGTCCCAAGTGAGACAAAGTCTGTTTTAAAAAAGCAATCTCAAGTGAGATAATCATCTGCATTAAATGAAACTGTCTCAAGCGAGACAGAATTTATATTGTAAATGTCGATCTTTCTGTCTGTCGAGTTGGTTGAAGTGTAGTTTCTTGCTGCTGAGCTAAACAACTGACATCAATCTGTAAAGGTGCTTTTGAATCGAGTATTCTTCGTCTTGAAGTCGAACTTGACTCTAAAGCTGTAAAAATTATGTATGTGGAAAGAAAATGATAGATATGACGCTTAAAATGTATGCATAAGATGCATGTAACATGAATTTGTTATATTTTATCTCCTGAAAAAGGTCCGATAATTCGCATTAGGATGTTAAATCCCCAAAGATGCCTCAATATCCAAAAATGCCCCAATATTTGATGTTGAATCTTCAAAGATACCCCAAATGTTCCTCATTTCTTGCTTCATCATTGATTCTAAGCATGAGCTTTGTGTTTGAGAGTCACATGTCATTTACCAAGATCCACTCTAGAGATACTGTCTTGTTTGAAAAAAAAATGTTTTTCTTTCTCTTTTATTTTCAAAGTCATGAAAATATCAATTAAAAGAGTTTCAAAAAATGTTTAATCTCAAGTTTTAAAAATATTGCCCCTATCACGGTTTTACAATAGAGACGAATCATAAAACTAGAGTTCATCGGATATCAAAGAATTAATTATAATGTTAATCCTTCAATAAATTATAGTTATTTGACAAGTGTCAAGATCAAAGCTATCTTTGAGAGATGGTCAACTAAGGAAAGGATAAAAAGTCTCAGGTCATTGTGTTTGGTCAAAGGTTTGGCATTTGATGCTCAAAGGATTGATGGGGTAGCTTGCATGCTCAAAGGATTGATGGGGTAGCTTGCATGCTTCTCTACTGGAAGTGTTCTCTGACTCCCAACCTTCGTTGTCACACTCGGATTGTGCGATGCCTTATCAAGGAATTTGTGTGATCACCTCAGTTGCACAATTTTTATATTCGAGCCGCCTTTTCAGGTTTTCAACTCGAATCCTCCTTTGGTTTCAAGACGTTATTCAGGATTTATGTCTTGAACCCCCCTTTGTTATTTTTCTCTACCATACATTAATTACATTGTTTTTTTTTTGCAAACAAAGATTAATCCTGATGGGCGGGATGAAATCTGAAGATAGTCTCTTCTGTTTAGAAATCCATGTATGATTAGAATGGACTTTTAAGGCACGTAATGTAGGCCAGGGTTCGTGGTTATGAAAGAAAAGGATAAATAGGCCCAAATAAGTGTTTCAGGGTATTGAACCAAGGATCAATTCATTCTGATGCCATCGATCTTGTCTTGCTCAAAATGTCTCTTTCTCTTGATGCTCTATGATCTTTGAGTGAAGGGATTCAGTGATTCGGGAATGATTGTGCTTGATCAATCTCATTGAAGCTTGATGCACCATTTGTCTTTAGGGAATTTTTGTATGTGTTTTTGTTCCCTTTTTTATTTTTGTTCTTTCTTTTTGTTCTTGTTTTTTCCTTTTTTGCTTATTTTCTTTTTTCTTTTTGCCCTTTTTGTTCTGATTGAATCATCGCACTTGGCATTTGGTTCACCTTTCGGTATCTCATCTGAATCAATGTCTTCACTCATGTGAGCAGATTTTCTCCACCTTGCCCTCAGTATGAAGGGTGATCCTTGGTTAGGGTTGAATCAAAAAGAAAAAAAAATACTATAGGCTCAAAAGGGGACGCAAGGGATATATATTTTCTCCTGTTGTGAAGGGATAAAGAAAGAAAGCCGTTCATCATTTCATACATATAAGTCTTCACAGAAGAGGTATCCCCAGGGGGATAGATTTTCAGGATTAATTATATTCACATGAAAATAGTGTAGTTAATGCATGATAGAATTATTTCGAATGAATTATTTTTTCTGCTCCTTGCTCCCAACATGTCTCAATGTTCAGGCTCCTGGCGAGATGCCCCAAACTGTATCTTGGAAGAATGCTCATGTTCAAATGAACAACTCAATGCCTTGGGTTTTAATGGTAAAAAAGGTTAATTTTGAGTCTAAAAAGACAGTTGTGTGATCTTATTGACTCAAAGAAAGGTGTGGGTGTATCAAAAAGATAAAGGTAATGTTCAAGAATTTCAAATGGAGGTAATGTCAAAATTTGGTTTTTTGATAATGACCATGAGTTATTTTGGGTAAAGAATCAATGTGTTTTATTCTAGGGTTTGAGACATGGTAAGAAAGGTCTAATCTTGTCATATGTCAAAAATCTATAATTCTTGAAGAATTAAAAGAATCCTTAATTCATTTAATATTCAAAGAACTAAAGATTAAAATTTGTTCAATTGCTCCACCTTAGAAAGTAACATGAATTCAAACGTTTAAAATAAGTGTTCAAACAAAATAATCCTCTAAGTGCAAATGGTATATGCCATGCCCCCTTCTTCGGCAAGCGCCTTACAGTTTTCAGAAGAATTTTTGGGAATCCTTATGTGGCAACAATTTCAACATTGTAGCCCTTAGGAGATGGGTACTCTTTTCTCAGATCATCCTGGCAGGCTTAGTCCTACAATCAGCTGATCCAGCTCCCCCTGTACTGATTTCAGTTTTTCTTTAATTGTTAAAATCTGGCTTCCATGTGGTGTAATGTGGTTAAGACCACTTTATCGAATCCTCCGTGATTTAATTTCATGTTTATGAAAATGCTTAAAAATGTAGATGAAGATGCAAAAACGCAAGAATGCATGAAATGTTCGAGGCATTGATCCAAGAAATGTGACTGTTATTATGAATAATCCTTATTGGGGACAAAAATGTTTTATCTTTTAAGAGAAAAAAATATCCTGACAGCTTCTGACATGTTGACTAGTCTTCTGCTTTCGTCTTTCACCGGTTGAATAACCTGTCGAACCTCTCCGGCCTCTCTGAATGAACCGTGAAAATGTTGAGTTGTTTTTTGTACTGGTCCAAGAAGTCTCGAATGATCGCATCTCGAGCATTTACTTTTGTTGAGCATGTTCCCAACGAATTCGTCATTGGAGCCCTTAATTGATAGGAACTATGTGAAGTTCATTAATCTGTTTCTTGAATTCGCCGGCAATGGTCTCCAATTTCAGCTATCATTTTGCCATTGTTGTGTTCAAAGGGACTTCCGAGATACATAACCTTCATCTTGCCCCTGCAACCTCTGCCAGTCAGTTCTTCAAAGATAAGCTTTCATTGTGCTTGATGTAGACCCGGTTCATTTTGAGTCTTTTATAATGCAGCAGAGTGATATACTCTTCAATTGTGGGCACCACGTCTTCTGGATTGAATGTGACACATAGTCGCCTTGTAGACTATCCTCTGTATTTTCATCTCTTGTATTACAACACCTTTGTCCATGGATTCAGATTATTCGAGTTTTAACAAACACGTTTTAGTGGATCAATGACCTCTTTTTAATGATGTAAGTGAAATAAAATAAAGATGAAAAGAGTTAGTGAGGTGAAAAATAATAAAAAACGATCATAAAAATGAAAGTCCTACCCCACATGATACCTACCCCATATGCTTATTATTCCTACCCGGACATGATCTCTATCCCGCATGCTAATTTCAAACAAATCCTAACCGCATATTTGTCTAGTTCGCATGCTTTGAACAGAAAGTAAAGCATGAAATAAAGCAGCCTAGGGTTTGAAGTGAGGTTTTGGGGTGGGCTCTAATTCTCTATAGTCTCCCGGTTTAAGTTCTAAAAAAACGGTACCCGAGTTCTCCTTGCTGGTGCCCCTTTGGGCTTGCCAGACCTTTAGTCCTAAACCCATCACAGGTTTGTGTGGACTAAGTTAAACTCGAGAGGACACATTCCCTTATGTCTATGCGGAGAATAAATTCACACGAAGACATAAGGTATATGAATCCCGAAGGCTACTTGCTAGGCATATGCGGTGAATAAATTCACACGAATGCGTCGCTTTCACCCCCACTTAAAACGGGTTCGGAGCTCGGGTTTAGAGCCTTAGATGAAAAAAGACTTTAAGGGCTGAAATCATTGAGAAAACGGTTAGTACAACTAATTACTCGAAAATATAATCAAAAGTAAGTAATAAGGATCAAAATGTTACCTTAAAATTTAAACTTACCCTTTTCATTAAAAAGACAACTGGAAATTACCTTAGCCTGACTCACTTACCTGTGTCCCCAGCGGAGTCGCCAAGCTGTCGTAACCGTCTTTCGGTTGGGCCCCAGAATTGGGCTTCGACTTAGGAAAATGGATTGGAGTCGCCACCGATCATTTATTTAAAAATAAATGGGTTGATCGGATACCCTATTTCTTACCTGATCTGCGTCTTACCAGAAATATGTCGGGCTCGGGAGTCGGTTACGGTCAAGGAAGGATTAGCACCCTTGAACCGCCCTTTCGGTACTACGTAATTTCCAGTTGTCTTAATTAAGAAAAATAACAAGTTAAATTAAAAGGTAAAGTTTCGACCCCAATTACTTACCATTTATTGATTTGAAAATATCCTTAAAAAATCGAGAAATGTGTTAGATAAACAAGGTAAATAAAACAAATAAGGTAAAAGGGAAAAATAAAATAAATAAAATAAATAAATAAGATAAAGGAAAAAAATAGTAAAGTAATAATTATATATAGTAATATTTGAAAAAGGAAAAATATATATATATATATATACGTCAAAGTATTAAAAAATAGAAAAGTTATCCTCTCACTTCACCGAAAGTGATGGGCTTTAGTCAGAAATAAGACAAAAAAATGGGTCCTCTAGGTTAGTAATATAATATAATGTTTAATAATAATAATGATAAAGACACAAGATTTTCTAAAAAATATAATAATAATAAATAAAAAAAACGAAAATAATATATATATATATATAAAGTTATAAGATATATTACGTAAATAAAAAAATAATCAAATAAAAATAATTAAGAATATATATATATTAGTAATAGGTATATAAATCAACCATTAAAAGTATAAAAAAATATATGACTAGATAAAGATAATTACAATATATATAGTAATAATAGACTTATAAGTAGAATATTAAAGAAATATATATATATATATATATACACATATAATAATAATAACATAAATAATAAAAATAAATGAATAAAATATTCATATAATAAATAAAGGGACTAATATAGATTTTTAAAAAGCTCTTCCCCTCCTTTAACCGAAAATCAAACCGGTTTTTCAAAATAAGCCTCGGGGTAGATCTAGGTTCGAAACTTCGAAACCCTACCCATTTTGGTCATCGGCGCAACCCACGTTTTGGGTTATTCGAACCAAATCTCAAGAAAAATAACGTGCACATGCAAAAGAAAGAAAAAAGAAAATGCTACCTTTTATTTCCTTTTCGAATCCTTTACAATAGCTTTGCCTTTGTATCTTCCCGTGCTTTCCTCTATGTTTTGTGTGTAAATCGTGTGTTACAATAGTGAGTTACAATGGCTATTTATAGTGCTTGTGGATCCTATCTTTAGGAGTTTAAATAATAGTAGAACTCTATCCTATTTTTTGAATCCTAGTAAAATTCTATCATATCTTTAGGAGTTTGAATTCTAGTAGGACGAAAAGGTGTGTTGACAGAATGCCAGACGGGTGCACTTATAAAGTATCGATACATTTTTAAAAAGTATCGATCCTAAAAACATCGAAACTCATAATTATAATGTAATAGGTAATTTTGTAATATAACCGGTATATTTATACCGGTTTTATGTGAGAATAGGTCTACATAATGTGTTGACACTTTTTAATGTTGTGTTGATACTTTTTTCCAGAATGAATGCCCAAAAGGGTGAACGCGTATAGTGTCGATACATTTATAAAAATTATCGATCCAAAAAATATCGAAACCGATAATTATAATATAATAGGTAAATTTGCAATGTTACCGGTATAAATATAATGGTTTACTTATAAAATAGGTCAATATAAGCGCTACCTATTACATTATATAAGCGTTACCTATTACATTATATAAGCGCTACCTATTACATTATATAAGCGTTACCTAATATGTTATTGTACTTGATAACATTTTCGGTTAAATAATATAACATAACCGATCTAAATTTTAATCAGTCACTTATTTAACTGATCACGCCATACATTAACCATTTTTTAAGCGTCGCACAACAGAAATACCCAAATTTTGATTGATCTGATTTTTTAAATTTTTTTTAATAAATTTATTAAACCTGATTTTATATGTTTTGGTAGTTAAAATTATTTAATAAATGGCTGTTGTATTCCAAAATATTGGAATTCTTTTTACATAAATTTATATATTTTTCTCATTCGTAGATAGTAAATATTTCAAAGTTTCTAATATCGGCGCATATTATTGTTTTCTCATTTCCTCAAATTGGCTAGAAAGTACACCGAAAGTTAATCCGTCACGCTTCTATATTCTTCTTCTTTCTGGAACTCCCAATTCCTTTGATTTGTTTTTTTTCCCGAACTTTCTTTAGAACTCTGTCTCAAAGCTTGAATTCTTAACGGGATTCATTCAACTTTCTTAAAGTCAACAGTTAAATTTCTTGAAGTCCTCCCCAGTCAAAAGAAGCATCCTTATTCCTTTTTTTAGTTCCATTCTTCAATAATTGTTTTAACTACCTGCTTGATGGATTCAAAACCTGAATCTTGAAATCCCAGCAAAAAAAAAAAGGAAACCAAAAGAAAAATGTTCACAAAATTACCACTTACACACCCGAAAGCATCTAATTTTGGGTTTAATCATTTGATTTCTGGCAATAAAGATGTTTCCAAGTTTGGGTATTTCTCAATAAACTCTGTTTCGCAGCATAAGTTCAGGTTCAAGCTTGTGGGGGCTCATGGGGATAGATGGAAGCATACCAGTATGTATCATAAGTTCATTTTGCTTTTATGTGTGTAGATATATGTATTGTTGAAGATAAGTTTTATCAACATTGTTCTTCAATTTCTTCTTTTAAGGTAGTTTAATTCTCAGGTACCCTGGTCTAACATTTTAGCCATTGGGATGGGATACTTTTAAAGTCTAAATTGTTGGGCTTTGCTAGCTATAGCCTATAGTATAGCGGTCCTAATAGTAGCAGTTTACAGTTAATGGAATGAGTATCTTTATAAAATATATTAAATTTAACAAGTACCATTAGCTGAACCAAATTGCTCTTGATACTTAAAAGTGGATGCTTTTATTTAATTCCTAGTTTTATATTTGCACCTTCTGTTGTCTTGACAGATACTGTTCAAGAAAGAATAAATTCATGGCTGTCAAAGACTCAGCATTTTTTGACTGAGGTAACTTCGCCTCTAGTAAAAACTAGTCACAGTGGAAAGCCTGATGCTGAAAACGATGTCGACACTCAAGACATGGACGACATTTTCTTGGGAGAACAGACTGTTACTAGTAGAATGCCTAATGGAATTCTTTCATTTGCTGCTATTGTGTCTATTGAGCAGTTTAGCAGGTGAAATTTTCTTTTACTACATTTTTTAAGTACTTTTGTGACTATGGATTAGTATGTAAAAATCTAGAGGGTCTCCATGTTAAAATAAGACCCTGAAAGCTATGAATGGTGAACTCAGTTTGAGGATGTAATTGACGCCAATGCTGTAACCATTATTTGGTATACTCTGAGTGTTGTGCACAGAAAAGTTATAGGAACCAAAGAACTTTTAGCTTATCCAGATTTCCGCTTTCCATTTCTTACACGAATATTAGTGATTCATCTATAGTTTTTGAGTTTCCAATTGGATCAGGGTTTGAATCTTAGAATTTAAGTTTGCAGGATGAATGGATTGACTGGGCAAAAGATGCAAAGGATATTTAAAGCTCTGGTTCCTAAAATTGTCTATGATGATGCTCTTAATTTGGTGGAGTATTGCTGCTTTAGGTTCTTGTCAAAGGATGCCTCTGATCTTCATCCCAGCCTTAAGGTCTGCACTTTTGACAACTATGTGCATATGAACAATCTGTATTCTTTCTTATTAGTTATCATTATCACTATTTTCATTTTCTTCATAAGATGCTCAGTGAACAATAAGTGAAGATGATCTTCTGGCCTTTTTCCATACTTACTTTTATGCTTGTCTTTCTTACTGTTTGCATGCCTATTGTGTGATCTGTTTATGAATTTTGCAATATTCACTTCCAGTTCTACACAAAACTTAAAACAAAGACAATCGATAATTTTAAATTTTTTCACATAATGTATGATTGGCAGTTCTACAACCACCATCAGCAGTTTATGAGCTACATAATCAGTAGCTTCCCCCTCAGTTTCATCTATGTCTTGGGAATCATGAAGTTCCTGATTAGCTGTTCTTTCTTAACAAATTTTGTTATGTTTGCAGGAACCTGCATTCCAGAGACTAATTTTCATCACAATGCTTGCCTGGGAGAATCCTTATAGTGATAAAAACGATTTGAGTGCTCATGCTTCAAGAAAAGCTTCTTTCCAGGTTCTATTCTTTTACCATCTTTTGAAGCATTCTGAAATTATATTACCATTGAGGCATTGAATCCTCCCCTGCCCCCCCCTCCAAACACACGCACACAGAGAAGCACTCTTTTATTTTGCATTAAACAGTATGATCGTTGAAATTATTTATTTTTATTGGTGGTATTGAAGGGAAAGCGGGTGAGAGAAGAAGCCTTCACTCGGATCGCTCCTGCTATTCCTGGTGTAGCTGATCACTGTACAGTGCATAACCTTTTCAAAGCTCTTGCTGGTGATGAAAAGGGTATCTCATTACGAGTGTGGCTAACTTATATTGATGAACTTCTCAAGTAAGTTCTGATTTCATACTGCTACTAGTTCAAGTTAAACTTTCATGATCAGATGTGAACCAACTGTAGATACATAATCAGTAATAGCTCAACCTCGCCATGTTATAAGAACTACTAACAGTAATAACTCAACCTCAGATGTGAACCCTGCAGGACTAACATAATAATAACAATATTAATTGAGCTGGCCTAGCGTTTTCATGCGTGCAAGCCTGCATTTTGCTCAATTCTTTCCACTCAGCACCATCCAAACCCCTATTATAATTGGTATGGTGTCATAATAATAGATCCAAACTTCCTTAAATAGAGGAGGTCGAATTTGTTTTTCCCTTATCTTTTATTCTATGTACCCATTTTTAAGCAACTAAATTATATTCTTCTTTTGTTTCTGTTTTCATATTTCTTTCCTGCCTTTATATTATTTGAACTTCATTATTTAACACCTGTATATTTTAAAAATAATGTTTAAAATCGGTGTAGTGGTTAATGGTTTCTTCTTTTCACTTTTTTTGACAACTTTCTCCCTCCTCGTTTGAACCTTTATGATAAAACATATGATGGTATTGATCAATGGATCTTGCATACTTCTTTATGTTCTTCTGCTGGCTAGACTCATTTCTGTTAACTAGCTCCTTTTGATTTCATTATGGTAAGCTTAATTCCTGCTGGTTTTAGTGTAGAGTGCATGAAGGAAGGAAATTATATCATAGCCATGAATATCCTCAGCTCTCAGGAGAAAGAATCTTGTGCATTGGTTCCGGCAAGAAACAACCTGTTCTAAAATGGGAGAATAACATGGCATGGCCGGGAAAGCTTACTCTAACTGATAAAGCGCTGTATTTTGAGGTACTTATTGTCCACAATAACTTGTTTATCAATTTTATATCTTAATCTATAATACTTTTTTTCATCAGTTCATGAGTCGACTGATGTTTCTAATTGATAAAAGCATTAACATTTTCCTCTTCTAATTTTTTCCCCATTTTGTCTTCCTGAAAATATTGGTTTCAGTCATGAAAATAAGTAGAAAAGTTTGAATTTTTTTAAAGATGTTTGTTAGGAAACGTAGAATGTCCATATGTATTTAACTGATCCTTATATTTGATATACGGGTTGAACAGCTGAAGCTTACTCTAGAACTGTTACAATATTGGCCACAAAATTGTAATTGATGTATCAGTGACTGTTGTGTTGCTGCAGGCAATTGGATTTCAAGGGCAGAAAGATGCAATAAGGCTTGATCTTACAGGGCATGGGTTGCAAGTGAAGAAAGTAAAAGTTGGACCTTTCAATTCAGGGCTTTTTGACTCTGGAGTTGCTGTTTCATCTGATCTGGGGTGAGATTCTCCAATCTTGTAATGGTGAAGGATTGGTCCTCCTTTTATGTATTATTTTGATTTGCTGCTTGTTTTGGTATAAAAAAGGATATTTTTTACTGTTAGAGTTCCTCTTAAATGAATAGAAAACATTATATTTGAACTCTTATTCAGGTCATGGGTGCTGGAGTTTGTTGACTTGGGAGGTGAACTGAGACGAGATCTGTGGTATGCATTTATCAGAGAGGTTATTACTCTACACAAGTTTCTTAGTGAGTATGGACCAGATGACGATGATGGATCACTCCTTCAAGTATTTGGTTCTCACAAAGGGAAGGAAAAGGCAATGATGGGTGCAATTAATGGCATTTCTAGACTTCAAGCACTCCAGTCCACCCGAATGTTTTTGGATGATCCAATCAAACTTGTCCAGTATTCGTTTTTGCAAAATGCACCCCATGGTGATGCCGTTTTCCAAACTCTAGCAGTAAATTATTGGGGTGGACCATTAGTTGCAGAACTTACAGATGCAGGGTATCCGCAAGCTCAAGGGAGGAGCCCTTACGACGAGACATTTGAAATCAGTGATCACGTATTTGACATAGATGGAAGTGTTTACTTGCGGAACTGGATGAGATCTCCGTCTTGGAGTTCTAGTGCTTCCATTAGTTTTTGGAAGCATTCTTCTATTAAACACGCAGTTGTGTTAAATAAAAATCTTGTTGTAGCTGGTGAGACCCTAGTAGAAAGGGCAGCGGCAATCTGCAAACAGAAGTACCAGGCCGTTGAGAGAACTCAAGCTACAATTGATGCTGCAAAAATTCAAGGAATACCCAGTAATATAGACCTTTTCAAGGTTTGGCATATATTTGTCTATGTTTTTGCTTCTCATTGGTTACCTTTCGATTTTATACGCCAATTGATCGAACTTGTTGGAAATTCTCTTTATGCAGGAACTTATTCTTCCTTTCGCAATAACTGCTAGGAGTTTCGAAAAGCTTAGACGCTGGGAGGAGCCACACTTGACTCTCTCTTTTCTGGCGTTTGTATATACGATTATTTTCAGGTACACACTTTACATATATTACTGCTAGGCAAACAATAGTAACTTTCTAAATGATGATATATATAATATGGAGCAAGATGATGATTCATTTATGCATCAAGAACATAGATGTTATAAATAGTTTACAATGACCATCTTGTTACGCTTTAACGTTTTGGATACGAGAATTCGTGAGATATCCTCTATATTTCGCTCTTGATATTTAAAATATGATAAATGCTTAAAAAATTGTTCCTTGCGCTCGAATTTTTGTAAGCATTCTCGTATTCAAATAGATATTTAAATCGGGTTTTCGTCGTTTTTAACTAGTGTCACTCCATGTTAGTACACTAAGATGATTTCTTTAACGTTTACTTCCTAGGAATATGCTGCATTATGTGTTTCCTGCGGCATTGATCGTCTTAGCCACTGGCATGCTAACCCTTAAAGGGCTCAAGGAACAAGGACGCCTGGGTAGATCTTTCGGCAAAATCACTATCCGTGATCAGCCACCTTCAAATACTATTCAGAAGATTATAGCTTTAAAAGATGCCATGCGCGACGTGGAATACTATCTCCAGAATCTGAATGTTACTCTCCTTAAATTACGCACGATTCTTCTTGCAGGTCAGCCTCAGGTACGATATTATGGTTCACGAGGGGACTAGTAAAGAATGATAAATGCAATAAGGATCTTCGTTTCTTTTATGGTGCAAATCTGCATGAAACTATACTCATTTAATCATTTTAACAGGTAACAACTGATGTTGCACTGGTGTTGTTATCATCTGCAACCATTCTTCTCATTGTTCCTTTCAAGTATGTTCTTGCCTTCCTTCTATGCGATCTCTTCACTCAAGAGCTCGAATTCAGGAGGGAAATGGTTAAGAAATTCTTAAGTTTGCTGAAGGAGCGTTGGGTCACCGTGCCTGCAACCCCGGTAATTGTATTACCGTTCGAGGACTGGACGAGAGCTGCGAATCAAAGAAGCCGAATGGATAAGAAAATAAATCAGAAGGAAGGCAGGACAGTCACACGCCTAGATAGTTTTTGACATCCACTGTAGTTTTAAAATGAAAAGTATGTTCGATTTTGTATAAAAGAAAGGCAAAGAACGTTTTTTCCTTCATTTTTGTATAGACATTGTTGCACTGATATATGTGGCAATTTAGTTCTTGGTATTTATATACCATGAAAATCTAGTTTTTAGAACCGTTAAAAGAAAGTAAAAGATGGAAAAAGATGTTTTTTTCAATGATTTATTCACCAAATCATTGCAGAATCAATAACGTTTATCCTTATCAACAACAGCCTTTTGTTTGGCAGCATAACTCTTGCCATGGAAATCAAGAAAAAGAGCCAAAAGAGAAGCATTGAAAACAGCGTTGAAACACCAGCCCTGGATCCCCGAACAACCCGATCCCGTGAAATGGTAGTAAAGCATCAAAACGGAAACCAGAAAGCTGAACACGAACTGCGCAATCTGGCAATTTGTGACCAATCTCTTCCACTTGGGACGAATCCCCACCACACAGAGAAGATAGTAAAAGTACATTATCACATGTACGGTCGCATTGGTGACGAGTGCCACCGGGAACAGTGACTGGGAAGTGTTTAACCAGAGATAGCACATAACAACGACAGTGCCGTGGTGGTAGACGTGGAGAAACGTCAGCCTTTGCTTGGATTTGCTCAGGATAATCAAAAGGGTGTCGATGAATTCGAGAATCTTGGAGAGGTAGAAGATGTTGGCCCAGAAAAAAAGGGGACCGGTGGGAGGGGTGTCGGGAGGGAAACAAACGACGTGGGATAAAGGAGAGGGGATGGATACGATGGAGAGTGTGCATCCGACGGCCATGACGAGGGAAACAAGGAAGAGGTTGAGGGAATGGAGGGCTGTGATGGGTTTGAGGATGTTGGGACCGAGTGAAGGGAGCGGTGTTTTGGAGAGGAGGAAGGTGACGGCGAGGTAAGTGAGAACCGTTAGACCGAGGAAGTGTGGGGTGGAGCCGAGTGTTTGACCCTGAATCCATTGGAAATGGAGGATTTTGGGGTGGTTCACTAGCCAGAACCGGAGAGATGAGTACAGTTGGTCCATGTTGGTAGTGGAGACTGCTGCCGGCTGTGGTGGTCGGACGATGGGTGAGGAGGAGGTCAATGCTTTATGCATTTAATAAGAAGCCAAGGCCCTCCGCTGAATCGTGTATGCTTTGTTATCCTTTCATTTTTCACATACTTTAACGTCAGCCCACTATTCATTTATTTTCCCTAGAGGATACAACGGGTCTTAATGGTCAAAAAACAAATTGAACGTAAAATGAAGGCTTATTCTTAAATATCAGTATAAAATATTCAAGATTAAAAAATAAATGAGGATGAAAATAATAAATAAATAATAGAATTGGAAGAGGAAGATGGGGGGTCAAGAGAGGAAAGGTTGAGATGAGGGGGATTAAAGATGAAAAGAATTATCCACAGTAAACCTGTGAGTTAAGACTTTAATTCACTAAAAAAAATATAAACAATGACATTGTTAGGTTTGGAATTATAAATCATAAAAGAAATTTTGCTTTTTTACCTTAACTTTTTTTTTAAATAATGTGTAGTGATTATAAGTTACACATTTATTAGACACAACTATTTAAATTTAAATTTCATTTACTAATAAAATTATTTAATGAATATTTTATTTTAACATTTTATTGATATCGGACATAGTTAATATATATCAAATAAATCAAATCAAAATAAAATTATTGAAATAACGAAAGAGGGAAAAACATTTAGATGTCTAAAAATTTAATTGATAAAATTAGAAAATTTTATAATTAAATAATTAAAATAGAAATACGATCAAAGTTAAATTACAAAAACATAGTTTACCCTGAAAAACTAGAAATAAAATAATTTAATAATCATAACTTTTTAACAGAAAGCGCATCTAGTGTAGTGGTATCATAGTACCCTCCCACGGTACTGACCGGGGTTCGATTCCCCGGATGCGCATTTTTATTTCTTCAATTGAATTTTTCATTTTTCCAGAAGAATTTATTATTTATATAACGATGTGCGCTGCACAGATCTTGTTGTTACCTTCTTCCGGACAACCCTCTTTCACTGACCCATCGGAGTTCGGGTTTCCCCATTGGCACCAGATTCAACCTTTCCTTCTCCGATGCCGACAAGTCCTAGAGCAGAAATAATGTGGCATTCTTGGATATAAACCATTTAGAAGATGACCTAGCCCCCACACAAAAGCTGATATCTTAGATTTGCATAGAGTTCCAGGAAAGCACCATAACCGAGCATATTGGTACTTATGGAATTGTCAAAGATAACCTGCCAATAATTAAAAAAGAAATGTCTATTATCATAATGTATTTGTTGGACTTTGTTCAGAGGTGGAAAAGATCAGTTGGCATAATGTATCTGCTGGACTTTGTTCCTTTACCTTTTCAAGAAGCACTCGTCTTCTAAACACTCCACCTAATTTAAAAGGTCGATAGCGACTCCAAAACATTCTAAAATCCTTTTCAAGGAAAACCCAAGTCGTACCAAATTTCCTCCCGCTCCCGGGCGAAAAATGGTGTCGACAGCTTGACGACTCTGCTGGGGACCCTAGAGGGTCAAGCCTTAAGTCAATTATATATTGTCTCTATAGTTAGAAATTGAGAATTCAGTTTTATTTAATTTATGATTCCTTTGATTCCTTTCAATTATTTTTTTTGTATACTAATGTGTGCATTTGATCGATTTTCATATATTAAAGTCTTGGATTTGCTTTAGTTCGTTTTTTTGTAATTGTCTGTCGAAGGTTTGATAATTTCTCCTCACACACGACATGTGCATTGCATAACATAAGTTCTATACCCGAGCTCTTCCTTTTAAGTGGGAGTGAAAGTGACGTCTTCGTGAGAATTTATTCTCCATGTTAGACCTAACAAGTAGCTTTCGGGATTCATATGCCCTATGTCTTCGTGAGGATTTATTCTCCGTGTCAGGCATAGGGAAATGTGCCCCCTCAAATTGAACTCGATCTGCTTAAGCCTATAATGGGTGAGGATCGAGGGTTTGGCAGCCCAAGGGGGGACCAACATCAAGGACAATTCGAGTACATTTTCTTCATAGGGCTGAAACCATACATACAGTGAACTGTAGAACGGTCACCCTTAGTATAGACATATCGAACATATGTCCGTCAGTAGGTACCAAAATAAGTGTACACAAAGGAGAAATGAACTCTAACTTTTTTCTTTTAATTTATTCGATAGATTCTTTTCGAATAACAGCATGCGAACTAGATACCATGCGGTTAGGATTATTTAAAAAAAATTATTGTGGGTAGAAAACATGTCCGGGTAGGAATGTCATTTAAGTATATCATGTTCGGGTAGATATCATGACGGGGTAGATGTTCTATTCATCTTTGAATAACATTTTTATCTGTATTAATTATCTTACTTGTACTAACTAATTTCTTTTCTTTTGTTTGTGTATACTAACTTATTTCTTTTGTCCATGTCATTTTTCATCTTCATTTGCATTACATTGCATCAACATAACATAATACAAAGTGTTGATTTGCAATGGGATATTCAAATGAAAATTTTGCACAAGACGAGATAAAAAAAATTCAATTAAGCAGTCACATACACAGACATGCGCCGAGGGATAATAGAAGACCGGAATACCAGAATGAGACTTGTTTGAAGATCGTGCAATATTTGAGATTGGAAAGCTGATCCTTTGATCCAAGAAAGTATTGAGGGGTATCAATTCCAAAGACGAAGCAGTGAGCTCGAAGATCGTGCAGCATTCGAGACTGAAATGATGAATCCACTGACCCGAGGAGTAATCCAGCAGTGGAGTCTTATCTACAATCATCTCATCGCTTACCACCAAAGAGCAACACACTAATTTCACTATCGCCGAGGCATTAACAGAGTTAGTTTACAGAGCATTGAGGGGCATCAGTTCCAAATATGAAGATATGAGATGAAGTAGTGAGCTCGAAGATCGTGCAACATTCGAGATCGAAATGACGATCCATCGACCCGATGAGGAATCCAACAGTAGATTCTGATCTCCTCATCTACGATCACCTCATCGCTAGTTATCAAGGAGCGACACATTGGTTTCAACATCGCAGAGGCATTATATAGAGCATTGAGGGGCATTTTCAAGGACGAAGGTCCAAGATAAAGCGACAATCCACTTCAAACTCAATATCTAATCGAAGGCATATCTGTAAAGTGGACTGTCTTGTAATGTGAAAGATTTTATCACTGGTGAAAATTATTCTACGATATTCATCGTTGAGATCAACATTTTTGCATCTGCATTTGCATTTTTGCATTTTGCATTTGCATTTGCATTTAATTTTTAAACATTTTCATGAAAAAAAACATATTCATGAAGGATTCTATAAAGTGGTCCTAACCATGTAACACCACATGGAAGCAATAATCTAAAATCAGTACAGTTGGAGCTTGCTCAGCTGGTTGTAGGACTGAGCCTTACAGAATGATCTGAGAAAAGTGTCCACATATCCCAAGGACTACGATGTTAATCTCGTGCACTGTCACCGCATAGAAAACTCCAGGCATTCATCTGAGAACTATAAGGAAATGAAGCGCAAGATCCAGAACCTGATAAATTCAGGGGCATGGACAATCAAAGAAGAATGGGGGCATTACATTTACCATTTTCATCGAGAGCATTGTTTTGTTTGAACACATTTTTGTTCTGTCTTTCATATTTGTTTAATCTTTTAAACAACTGAATTTACGCTACCTTCTAAGGTGGAATGATTGAACGAGTTTTAATCTTTATTTTTTTCAATTATCAAATGAATTAAGGATTCTTTTAATTCTTCAAGAATTATAGATTTTTGACATATGACAAGATTAGACCTTTCTTTTACTGTACAAAGCCAAAGAAAAATACCTTGTTTCTTTACCCAAAATAACTCATGGTCATTACCAAAAGACCAAATTTTGACATTACCTAAAGACCAAATTTTGACATTACCTTTATTTGAGTCATACCTATACCTTTCTTTGAGTCAATAAAGTCGCACCATTGTCTTCTTAGACGCAAAACCAACATTTTTTACCAATAAAACCTGCAGACATTGAGTACGAAATGTTCACTTGAACATGAACCTTCCTACCATAAGACACAACTTGGGGCATCACACATCAACTTCCTGAAGGTGAGCCCGAACATTGAGACATGCTGGGACAAGAAGCAGAAAGTAGAATTATTTCTAAATAATTCTATCATGCATTAATTACATTGTTTTCATGTGGATAAAATTAATCTTGAAAATCTATCCCCTTGGGGATACCTCTTATGCAAAGACTTATGTGTATGAGATGATGAACGACTTTGTTTCATTTATCCATATATGTATATATCCCTTGTTTTCCCTTTTTTGAGCCTATATTATTTTTCTTCTGATTCAACCCTAACCAAGGATCACCCTCCACACTGGGGGCAACGTGGAAGAAATCTGCTCACATGAGTGAAGACATCAATCCAGAGGAGATATCAAAAAGGTGAATCAAGTGACAAGTGTGAAAATCCAATCAGAACAAAGAGCAAAAAGGAAAAAAGAAACAAAAAAAAAAAGAAAAAGAAAAAGCAAAGAAAAAGGAACAAGAAGCACATGTAAAGATTCCCCTCGAGTCAAATGACACATCAAACTTCAAACTATGAGATTGATCAAGCGCAATTATTCCAGAATCACTTCACTCGAAGATCATAGAGCATCAAGAGAGAGACGCATACGAGCATATTCAAATTGAGCAAGACAGGTTTGAAGGTATCAGAATGAATTGATCATTGGTTCAATACCTTAAAACACTTGTTTGGGCATATTTATCCTTTTCTTTCATAACCATTGAACCATGGCCTACATTACGTGCCTTAAAAAGTCTCTTCTAATAATACATGGATTTCTAAGCATAAGAGACTATCTTCATATTTAATCCTGCCCATCAGGATTAATCTTTATTTGTAAAAAGTATTCTAAAATCCTTAATGCATGATAGGGAAAAATAATAAAAGGAGGGTTCAAGATGAATAATTCTGAATGACGTCTTGAAACCG